ATCAATATGTACAAGTAATGATTCTTCACCAATGATAGAAGTATCTACAACTTCTATTATTGTTGGTTTTTCCATAACAATTTCATCCCTTATTGCTTGTCCTGCTTCAATATGTACAGATAAATTTATTGTCTCCTCAAATTATTATTGTGTGTAAGTAAATCATTTAAGGAGTATTTGGGATGTTGCTCAACATATTTTGTTGTTTTTTCTTCTCTTCAACTTGAATATAGTATATGGGGAACTGAATTTCCTCTTCCTTCTATTTTGTCTGGCCTTAACTTTTTAGATTAAACTGTGAAGTGAGGATTAATCTGTTCGTTTCTTCTTTGATTTCCCATTTAGTTTTCTTACCATTTTTTCCAATTTATTAAAGTCATTTTGGAGGACTGTTATTATGTTTTGTAAATTAGAAAACCGTGAATTTATTGATTCTTGAAATATAATAAGATTTTTTTTCTAAGTAAATAGATTATTTCTTCAAATCCTTTATTTTGGGTTATACATGTTGGTTGCGGGGTGATTTCACTTGAAACGTGGTGATCAACATCATATGAAACAGGTGACTATGGTGTGGAGTAAGCTTCATGGTGTGGGATGAGTTTGACTGAACTAGATGATCCTTTAACTGGAGGGGCAAGCAAGTGGTGTTTATCATCTTTCAAATCTAAAAAATGATCATAAACCTACAATGAAATTTAGAATTTTAAAAAATTACACCAAAGTGAAGTAAAAATAACACTAAAATAACACCTAAACAAAACCTCAATAAAACCACAACAAAGTCTCCTTAGAAATAACTAAATAGCATAAGAATAACACCACAAAAATATCACTCACACCTAAATAACACAAGAATAACACCATAATTCACACCTAAATAACACCACAATAATGCAAGAGTAAAACCGCTATAACACCTCAATAACACATCAATAAGACCACAAAAAATCATAAAAACACTTAAATAACACCACAGTAACACAACAATAACATGAGAATAACACCTAAAAAACACCTCAATATAACATACAATAAAAGTCTCTTTGAAACACGTAAATAACATCATAATAAAATAACAATAATACCATAAAAACACCACAAAAACACAAAAATAACACCAAGACTAACAACTAAATAACACCTCAATAAAACCTACAACAAAAATCTCTTAGAAACACCACAATAACACTATAATAATAGAACAATAATACAAAACACCACAAAAACACCTAAAAAATACCATTATAACACTTTCATATTAAATACACTAACAGTATGATACACCAAAAAAATTACATAATACATGTAAATACAACACAACTCTAATATCACAGCTCAATAACACATAAATACAACAAAATTTTAACTGCTCCAATTTTCCAAAAGAAAAAAAAAATGATCTAATAAGATTAATGACTTACCTGTACAGGGTTGAGCCTCTTAAAAGCTTGACAAATCTATGACGAGCTCCATCTCACATTTGTGGGCCACCTCAACATATGAGGTATGGTCTCAGGTGCAGCAAGAGTGACCAAAGATGTGTGTTTATAAAAATAGAGTTGTGTACAGAATAAGTCATAATCTGCATTGAGAAAAAAAGTAAGTTTTATAAGGTATATAAGACACTAACTATTAGGAGAAAAACAAATCCATTGATATATCGCAATGGAAGATTCCACCTTATTTTAATGGCTACGGTATTCATTTGATCAATGAGCAAATCACATACTGTAGCAAACCAATTAAAGGAGGAGAAAGACTGTACATTCTCACCAAAGGTGAAAAGTCCTTTGGGCACATCAAAATTGCTAGAAGAAAAAAATAAATTTGATAGCAAAAACTTCAAAAATAATTTATCAAAGGGAGTATAACACTTCAGTTTAAACCTTCACTAGGTCATTCTTTATTTTTTCTGAAATCCACACCATAAGAATGAACTTTATTCCAATTTGCTACTTCTCCTATGTTGGGCATGCCTATCAGCTGGGCAACTTCATCAGGGTCTAATCTTAGCTCTTTCCCACTCATTATGAATTCCATTTGTTCATAATCCCAACATTTCAATATATACAGTGTGAGACATTGTCTTGAGGATACAGAGGGAGATCAAAAAATTAATCTACATTCAATGCTTCTAATTTATTCCTAGTCTCCTCAAATATGGTAGACCTATCCTTATCAAGAACATATTTTACTACAGATGAACGACATCTACAATTGAAGGAAGTTAGATTCATAAGTCTACAAAGAAAAAGATAATGAAAAAAAAGACATTTTGTTTTTTATGATTGTCTATAATAACATCACTCCAGTACATCAAAAACATGAATAAAATAACAAAATATCACAATATCAACACAATAACCAAATACTAACAAAATTACACCTAAATAAAGTCTAAGAAATGCCACAATAACACCCTTAAAATACCTCAATAACATCATAATAATACCAAAATAATACCACTTACACTCCTAAAAAACACCACAATCCTACCCCAATAACCCAAAAATATTACAATTTTAATAATAAATAAAGACATTTCCATCAATGGGGGGTCTATCAACAACTGACTGAATTAAAATTTATTGGAAGAACTAAACAACATTCTCAACAAAAAGCCTAAATAACACTACAATCCAACCACAATAAATCCACAACATCACCTATAAAACAATCTAATAATTCATAAATAACACAATAATAATAACATAATAACACCACAATAACACCATAATCCTACCTTTATAACGCCACAACCCCACCTCAATAAACCCTAAATATTACACCTTCAATAACACATAAATAAACCACAAAACACCAGAAAAATTATACGAGCCATCTTAAATAACACCACAATAACAACAGAATAACATCGCAATACCACAACAATAACACCAAATTTCCCACCACAAATAAACCACATTAACACCACAACAACACAAAAATAACCTATAATAACACCTAAAAAACACCACAATAACCCCATAATAAAACCATAATAACACCACAAGCAAGCTAAAATACTTAACTTTAATAACACATAAATAACACCAGATTATTTCACAACAAAACCTCAATAAAACTGAAACAAATCTCTCTAACAACACAAGAATAACACTAACAATAAAAAAACACCAGAATAACACCACAATCCATTCTTAGTAAAATCAAAATAACTCCATAATATAACCGTTATAACACCACAATCCCTTCTCAATAAAACTGAAACAATATTTTGATATTTTTTTGGTGTTATTTTAGAGTTATTTTGGTGTTATTTTAGTATTATGTTGGTGTGCTTTTGGTGCTAATCGTGTTATTTAGCTGTTATTTTGGTGTTATTATTGTGTGATTTTGGGTGTTATTTTGATGTTACTTCGATGTTATTTTGTGTTACTTCGATGTTATTTTGATGTTATTATGATATTATTATGGTATTATTAAGTTGTTACTATGATGTTATTGTGGTCTTATTAAAGTGTTATTTAGCTGTTATTGTGGTGGTATTGTGTTGTGATTATGATGTTATTTTGTATTATTATGGTGTTATCATGGTGTTATTTCAGGTTATTTTTTGTGTTATTTTGCTATTATGTTAGCGGTATTGTGGTGTTAGTGCGATGTTATTTAACTGTGTTATTGTTGTGCAATTTTGGGGTTATTTTTATATTATTTCGGTGTTATTTTTTTCACTATTTTGATATTATCTTGGTATTATTGTGATGTTATTTAACTGATACTATGGTGTTATTGTTGTTTGATTATGGTCTTATTTTGATGTTACGTTGGATCATTTAAATAATGCACAAAAATATTATGCGATGCAATGTTTTTCTCGGTTACAATAGACTTTTGAATGCAAGTACAACGACAAACAAAATTACCTGGATGACTTCTGATGATTCTTAGGCTCTTTGGTGCCCTTCTTCATACGGTTTTTTTAGCTTTCTTCTTCTTACGCTCTTTTATTTCCATCTCCTTAGGCTCTTCGAACTCCATCTCCTTAGGCTCTTCGAACTCGATCTTCATAGGCTTTTGGGTTACTTTCTTCTCTTCCAGTATTGTATATTAGCTTGCTTCCAAAGATGACAAGAACTGCATGAGTTCACACTTTAAATCCTAAATCCTCACGCAAAGTTTCTATCGAAAAAACCTTAATATCACAAGAATTACATGGCAGTAAAGAGGAACTTCCAATATATCTCGATAGACGAACGACAATGTGAACCCTAGCTACCGGAGTCACGCAATGAGAAACCTAACTGATGACGAATAACAAAAATAGAGAGTAAAGAACCACACATCTGAGTTTTGTTTTTCGACGCAATGTTCCTGACGTTATGATTCAACAAATTTTATTTTCAAAGCAACCAACTAGTTCAGATCAGATCGCCCAATAATAAGAAAATATTTAAATTTTTTTATTGGGACTAAAATTTACAGGTGGCAATTAGGGGTGTAAACGAGCCGAACAGGAGCGATCCATGCTCAGGTTCGTGTTCAGCTGGTTTATATTTCGAGCTCAAAATATGTGTTTGTGTTCAACTCGGTTTGTTTAACGAGCCGAACACGAGCTGTTCACGAACAAAGAGTCTTTTTGACAACCCTAATCACGTAGTCATAAGACGATAAAGATTTGAATAAGATTTAAAAATTATTATTTATATTAGAACATCATTTGAATCTAATTTAATAATTTTTATTTTAATTTTTTAATTATTATTTTAATTGATTATAAATCTTTATAGCTTTTAGCTAATTAGATTTTTTTTAAAACACAACTTATATATATATATATATAAACTTGATGAACAGTACTTCGAAAACGAGCTTAATTATTATTTTAATTGATTATAAATCTTTGTAGCTTTTAGTCAATTAGATTTTTTTAAAACACAATTTATATATATATATAAACTTAATGAATAGTACTTCGAAAACGAGCCGAAGCTGAACAATTCCTCTTCAACTGGTGGTCGAAAACGGGCTTCTTAAGCCGCCTCGAGAACAACGTGGCAATATTTAAATATCCGGTAGCCTTGCGTCCGGACAGTTGCCGCTGTCTACTCGGTGCACGATCATCGAAGGGATAATCTTTTTCCCTCGTCGGAGTGATCTCCATCTTCTCCAACATGGATCTCAGGGAATCGATCGTCCACCAAACGAGCTTCTCTCTGCAGCTCGCGCAGCTCGTCGGCTCCTCCCTCGCAAGCGACTCTAACCTCGTCTTTTCGCCAATCTCGATCCACACTGCCCTCGCTCTCGTCGCCGCAGGATCGAGTGGCGAAACCCAGAAGCAGATCCTCTCCGTGCTTAGGTCGGGCTCTGCCGGCGATCTAAGCGCTCTCTCCTCCCAGATCGCCGACGTCGTCCTAAAGGACGGGTTTCCTTTGGGCGGGCCCAGACTGGCATTCGCTAATGGCGTCTGGGTCGATGCATCGCTTTCGCTCAAATCAACTTTCAAGGAGGTAGTTACATCTGCTTACAAGGCTGAGACCAAAGCTCTCGATTTCCAGGCGAAGGTTGGTTGATGTTGAAATTGAGCTGCAGATACCATTTACCGAAGTATAACAGTAGCTTAAAAAAGAATACATGCAACTGTAAGATGAAATATATTAAATGCTCTAATAACTTCTCTGCCTTGATGAATACATTGGTACTGCATATAAGTTTTTGATGAGGTGAGTCTGTCATAGAACGTTTGGTAGTTATTTCATTACGTGGTTATAGCAAGGATAGGGTGACCACAGGCCCATGCGGAGGTTACATATAGGTGTATTCTATCTGGCCCTCCTACAGTGAGTGTACCTTGAGTTTGTTCCGCAGCTTGCTGAATTTTGAGATGGATAGACTATTGGTAAAGATGTCTGAGAGCTAGTCTTCCACGGCCAGGAGTATAATTTATAGTTTTTGTAGGCGACGTGGTCCCAATTTGGTGAGTTTTTTGAAAGATCAGGTTGTTGGTGATGGCTATGGTGGAGGTGTTGCTGCAGAGGAGTTGTGTCGATCGACCGAAGGAGTGCTCAAGCTCTTGGAGAAGACGACGGAGCCTGACTAATTCTATTGTGGCATCTATGAGGGTGATACCTTACTTCCGTGGACATCAAGTTATCGTTGTCTATTTTTGAACTCTCCATATGATTGGTGTGGAGCCTAGCAGGAAGTAGTAACTTGTTATTGATACCTTGTCCAAGTCATTGCTAGCCCAGTTGGCATCTGAATAAGCTGTCAAGGTGAGTTCTCCAGGGGTGATGGAGAGGCTGTGCTTAATGGTGGAGTTAAAGCGTCTAAGTACCATTTTTATCATTTGATAGTTTTGATCGAGAGGGGATTGCATATGCTTGCAGATTTGGTTATTGTGAAAGCTACGCCCGAACTGGTGAGTGTTAGGTATTGTAGGAATCCAACAATTTCTCTATATAGTTTGACATCTGAGAATGCTTGATATTAACTGTTGGAAGCTCGTTGAGCGTTGGTGTGGAGACTAGCTTGCAATTTTGCATTCCTATATTGTGAAGATAGTCTAGGTTGTAGTTTTGCTAGTTTAGGAAGTATCTCTGAGGTTTATGTTAGAATTGAATGGCCATAAACGTGGGTATGGGGCCTAATTCTTTGAGGTTGAATCTGGTATAAAGGTTTTGAATAAGTTGCTAGATAGAGTTGGGATTATCTCTTGTACTCGGGATTTCATCTGAATAGATTAGCAGGTAGATGCCATCCGTGGGCATTTTGTAAAGTAGAGAGATGGGTCTACTGAGCTTTAAACAAAATCTTGTTCTTTGAGATAGTCGAATAATGCTGAAACCATTATCTTGGATTTTATTTGAGCCCATAGATGGTCTTTCTTAGATCGCAAACATAGTTAGGATGCTTAATGGTGGAGTTAAGGTATCTAAGTACCTTTTTTCTCACTTGATAGTTTTGATTTAAAGGGGATTGCATATGCTCGCAGATCTTGTTAATGTGAAAGCTACGTTCGATTTGGTGAGTGTTAGGTATTGTAGAGATTCAACAATTTATCTATATAGTTTGACATCTGAGAAGGTTGGATGGTATCTGTTGGAAGCTTGTTGAGTGTTGGTCTGGAGACTGGTATGCAATTTTGCATTCCTATATTGTGAAGATAGTCTAGGATGTAGTTTTGCTTGTGTAGAGAGTATCTCTGAGGTGTGTGTTAGAATTGAATGCCCATAAACGTGGGTATGGGGCCTAATTCTTTGAGGTTGAATCTGGTATAAAGGTTTTGAATAAGTTGCTAGATGGAGTTGGGATTATCTCTTGTACTTAAGGTGTCATCTACATAGATTATCAGGTAGATGCCGTGAGTGGCCGTTTTGTGTAGTAGAGAGATGGGTCTATTGAACTTATAGCAAAACCTTGTTGTCTAAGATAGCCGAAGATTGTAGAAGCCATTATATTGGATCTTATTTAACCCCATAAAAGTTCACTTGATCTTATTTCTTATATCGCAGACATAGTTAGGATACTGGAAATCATTGAATCCAGCAGGTTGAAACATGCATACCATGTCTTCCAATGTGCCATAAAAAAGCATTGGAGATGTCTAGTTGGGTCACTGGAGATTCATGATTGAGGGCAAATGGTAAGAGAGATCAGATTGTTGGTAGTGGCCATTGGACTGAATGTCTCCTCATAATTGATCCTATATTCATTGGTGTTACCCTGTGCTACTAATGGGCTTTGTGACGAGCAATGGGTTCTTGTGGATGAAGCTTTGTTTTAAATATCGCCCTTTTTTTGATGAGCTATAAATTATACATTGCTTGGGTATAATTTGTCGGATCAGGTGGGATGTGTAGGTGTTTGGTGAGGTTGAGGAGAGTTTGGGGTTTCAAGTTTGCAGTTTTAGATCTTGTAACCATAGATTGAGGAGGATGAGATGGGGAGACTTGATGTTGCATTATTGTTGGTGGATCTATGATGTTTGTTGTACTGATAGATTTGGTGAGAGTAGATGATGTGGTGATGGTAGAGGAATTGGAGTTGATTGATTTAGTAGGGTTGGATATGGAGGATGGTACTAGAAGCAGTGGAGGAATGGTAGATACTAGTTTTGTCTTAGTGACTAATTGATATGAAACATAGGGAAAGTGGTTTTCATTGAATGGTACATGTTTTGATATTATCAGTTTGTTTGTGAAAAGTTCTAGACAGTAGTAAAATTTATGTGTTGTGAAGATCCTATGAACACACAATGGATTGCTGTTAGAGAAAGTTTGTTTGGTGTTATTGGGTTTTTCCATGGGAAGCATGTGCAACCAAAGATTTTGAAGTGATTATATGTGGGTTTGGATTTATGTAGCATGAAGTATGGAGTGTTCATACCAATAGCTTTGTTAGATAATATGTCGATAATGTAAACTGCAGTGTGTAATGGATAGATCTATAGGAATTGTGAAACTTGTCCTATTGTTAGAATGGTATGGGTAGTTTAGCACGTCGTGGTGTTTGCGTTCAACCACCCCATTTTGCACAAGTGTATAGGGACAACTGATGTGGTGTATTCTGCCGTTTGATTGAGGGTATGTTTTGAACTCATTTTATTTATATTCTCATCTTCCATTGGTTCTTAGAGTTTTGATGATGGTATTGAATTGATTTGTAATTGGCTTGTGAAGGGGAATGATCTTATTGAGTCTCTGTTTTGGAAGTTATATGAAAATAGCCAACTATATATGGAATAATTATCAGTAAATAGAACATAGTATTTATAGTCATTTGGGAATGAAATTATGGCTAGACCCCCATATATCAGAGTTTACTAGGTGGAATGATTGTTTGGATCTAGTAGTTGATGTAGGAAAATGTAGGTTATGGCTTTTAGAAGCCTTGCAAGCTTTCCAAAAACTAAAATAAACTAGAATATTTAAATTGGGATTCTGTTGGGATATGGTTGAGACTTCTGCTTATTGGGGATGTCTTGGCCTATGATGCAATTGATTGATTGGGATTGCAATGGAGTGGAGAGCTTGGATCCGTGAAATGGAGTAGAGTCCTTTGTTGTTGGTCTCTTTAAGGATTGTTTGATTCAATCCTTAATTTGAAAACCATCAACATCAAAATGAATTGAGCAATTTTTGTCATGTGTGAGTGTATACTAAGAAAAGATTGTGTGATATGGAGGGATCATGAAGTAATTTGAAGAGAGTGAGCTTACATGTTAGAGTGGGTAGTATACCATGACGTGTGAGAAATATCTATGTGAGAAATGGGGAGAGGATTTCCATCTTCAATAATAACTTGTTCTGGTCCAGTATAGTTTGTTGGCTGTTACGACTGAGAGTAGTCAATGGTGAGGTGTAAGGAGGTTCCACTATCTAGAATCAAGTTTGCTGAATTGTGGGAAGAGTTGGCTACCAATGCTAGGGTGATGTTAGGTGTTGTTGTGGTGAATGTTGAGTGACCTTTCTTACCACAAATTTGGCAGGTTAGTAGGGATTTGATTTGTTGGTCACTGCTTATGGTTCTGGAGGTACGCTAAGATTGAGGTGAATGTCAGCCACGACCTTTTGCTTGTTCCAGAGTTGCGCCTCTGTAGGGTAGTAAAGCCATGGATGAGATTGTCTGTTACTTATTATTGTCGGCTTAGCTGTTTATCTCATCACTACAGAGAAATAAGTAGATATCATCTAGTTGAATGGGTTCTAGTTTTGTTCTGATTGCAGTCTTGAACGATTGGAATGTTGCTGGAAGACAGTCGAGTATGTAGTTGTGTCCAGTTTGCATTCTGCAACTGTTAGTTGATCTACTAGGAACTTGATATGAGTAAGATGTTGAACCATTGTATCATTCTTCATCATAACATGATAAAGTTCATCCTTGAGTTGAATCACTTTAGATTTGTTAGTAGATTATAATCTCTTGGTGAGTGTTTGAACATGAGGTAGTATGATATGAGATATAGTTGAGTATGTGGCTGTTAATAGATTTTGGTCTATGACTTCTCATAAGATTTGATCTAGGTTGGGAGAAGGGCTTGCTATGGGGCTTATGAGAAATTGAGGGCAGGTTGAGGTTCCCTTAAAAAACCCTTTAAAGCCATTAGGAGTGAACAATTTGAGTATTTGAGAACTCCTAATGGGGTAATTATTAGTTTTGAGAGCTGTATCTTCTAGAGATTTAATGTTGGTCATAAGAAATTTCTGGGAGGGAGGGATAGAAGTGGTGGTTGTTTGCCGTAAGAGGGTAGATTCACCTTGATATGATTGAGAGGTTGTATCCATTAAGTAAGAAAAGAGATGACACTTAAACAATTATTGCTTGGAGATGAGGAAGAATTTTGATTTTACTGGCATTGATACTATGTTGAAATTGAGCTGCAAACATTATTATTAGCATTATAACAATAACCTAAAATAGAATACATGTCTATAAGATAAAACAACAACAAAGCCTTAATCCCACTACGTGGGTCAGCTACATGAACCTTAATCCCACTACGTCGTGGGTCAGCTACATGAATCATTTTTCTCCATTGCATCCTATTTAGATGAAATGTATT